GCAGGAATATCGAAGTACATTTGAGAGCTGGACAGTAAACTAAACTGTCCTGATCAAAGACCAGTGCTGTGTGGTGCTATGCTAGTGATGTGGGGAGATGATATGACTTGGAGATGATCATGGGAGAGAGAAAATGCTGATAACAACTGCACCTGAAGTAGGACTGGAGTACATACAGGTATCTTGCACTGCTGGTAATATAGCTATAATATAGCTAGTTCAGACACCACTAGTAAAGAAAACAGCATTCTGGACATAATAGACTTACTCATGTCATTTGCCCATCATCAGGATTCATTTATCACTTTTTAACTTGTATTTTTACTGGTGCCAGCTCAAGTATGTTTAGAGCTGGTACACCCCAAACACTAGTCTTTTTTTTTTTTTTTTTTACTTCGGGATATATGTAATGGATGGGTTTTATTTGTCTGTATTTAGGCAGTGACAATGCAGATGTCTGCATCTGTTCCAGTCATTTAGACTCACTTTCTGCTAAGAGAAAAGAAATATTTCTATGTCATGGATCACCTCACCCTGAGTTAGCTGTCTCAGGCCAAATTGCACTTGGGAAGTGCCCGTTTCTCTCCATCGACTAAAGAAAGAAAGACCAGACCACACACAGATAATTTATGCAAGAGATGTCTAAGTCTTTACATATGAATCTGAAACAACTTGTACCTGATAACCTGCACAATTTATACTTCTCAGCAAACCTACCCCGCACAGTATATTGTGGTGAAAGGTTGTGGAGATGCCCTTTCTCTAACGCTCTATAGCTGAACGTGGATACTGATGTTTTGAGAGGATCTTTCCATCAGTTATTCAAATAGATAAAAAATAGAGTGTAGGAACACACCCTGTCCCCCTTTGTATCTTGTCTAGCGGTCTGTGAAACCATTCTTAAGAGCAGAATTACAAGTTGCCTTTTAAACTATTAAGTACCAATGATTATTTTAATAATGAGGAACAATAAATGAGTTATGAAACATTTTAAGTACTACAGAGGAAACCAGAGACCGAGGGTTTGGGCTCTGCTTAGGTTTATTCACCAGCAATGTCATGACAGTTAATATGTGAGCAAGACAAAGGTGTGCTTCTATGAGTGTTGTTTATAGTCACTCAATCTTATCAGCAATATTTAATGCACCAATGTGAGCAACCGTCTCCTGGAATAAGATTAGAGGTGAACAAGTCATGTGAAATGAATGAAGAGTCATTCTTTACTATTCATATAAAATTATCTCCTCCGGTAAGGTTTCAACACAACAGGAGGATGAAGAAGACGAGAAAGGGAACACGTTCATGCACATTATTCAATTCCACCTTCCTTTGGTACCACTGCACAAAAATTCTGAAACATGATGACAAAACCCCAAAATGATCTTGTGACATCTGAGATTGCGGGGCTACCCAGTATTTTTTACAGGAAGCTTCACAACGAGCATTGTCACAGTGTTTGAAGAACTACAGCTCTGAAACCTTTTGGCTATGCAGGAGATAAGCAGGTTACATGCACTAAATGTGGTCTCTCGAGTATCTTAAGCTAAGTGAGCACTCAGGATAAGCCCCACTCATTGGATAGCAAAAGTGTTTGAACTAATCACCAAAGAAAATGTGTGAAATGTTTTCAAATGGATGAGGGAGAGAGAGCAGACAGCGATTCATCAGTATTTAGCAAACAGATGTCAGTGTGAGTCTCCAATAAAAGTCAAGTGTCAGATCAGTAACTTCATGATCTTTTTTAAAAAAACATAATGTTTTATCCAGACCGTCTGATTTAGTGTGCCATATCATTATCCCGCTGTCTTGGAGGATTTATCAGAGGGTGAGACATGTTAAGGCTTTGGTAGTGAAAAGGTGGTTAGACTTTGTATTTGTGTTCAGAAAAAAAAAAAGAGAGTGCAAAAAAGGTTGTACATGTGTTTTCTGCATATATCAAGAGTTTGCACCCATGTGTGCTTTAGTTGCAGCATCAAGCATTCATATTGACAATGAACAGATTGTGCTTGTCTATGCCTGTTATCACCTCAAAGCTTCTAGGAACCAGCATAATAGCTCTTCAGAAACAGGCAGAAAAAGAAGAAAAAAAAAAAGAACACCATGGACACCAGTTTGTTATATTAACAGTAAGAAACTACAGGGAAAACGCTGAATGTACAAGATATTTTTTTTTTTTTTGTAAACTGCATATTGATTATGTCAGAAGCAAGGAAAGAGAAGCAGGAGAAGCAGGAAATAAAAGGAAGGAAGGAGATGACAGAAAAGGAAGATGTATAAGATCAATCTAAAAAGCGAGAAAGAAAGATAAATGAAGAAATAGGAGAGGAGAGGGATGGTAATAAGGAAGTGAGAGAAAAGACAAATGCTGTTACGAGCTACTGCAATCTGGCCAAGCTACAACTAGTCATCATTTCAAATATCTACAATAGCTACTGCTGAATGCTGAATTACTTTGCATTTGCTATTGCTCCAGCCAAGCCACAGCTGAAAAAAAAAGCAAAATGTATAGATAAATATGTGCGGCAGAGAGAGGTTTCCTAAGCAAGAAGGATCGTACTAACCTATAGCTGAGGAGAAATATAGTGCAATTTTGTGTTTTATATACACATGAAACAAAGTATAAAATACAAATTGCAAAGTATAAAGGATAGAGGATAAAGGATAAAAGGTAAAGCAAACATGCATGAGTTTGCAGTATATAAAACTGCAATTTATAGATGGATAAACCTAAGTTTTGGAGTCTACTTACAGATATTTTCACGCGGACTCAGTTACTGTTAATGGGGCTTGATTTAGTTGGCTAAATCATACCATACCAACATGTCATACCATACCAACGTGTCATACCATACCAACATGTCATACCATTTGAGAAACTGTAGATGAGACATTGCATAAGGATAACAGATATGAAACAAGACCTAAAGACTTGTATCCTATTGGCCCAGCATCCTAAGCTCACATGGGATATCCGAGGGCATCCCACAGTTATTCATTTCACTGTAAACTGAAAACCTACTTTTGGCCATTGCACAGCTCTCCTGATGCCACTGCGGTGACCAGCTCCACACTGGCTGTAATGGGTGCTTTGACAGCTGGCTTACATGGAGGCAGCTACAGGAAGACACTTAAATTTAGGCATCTTAATCCATGATTTCACAAAATCATGCCCAGAGAACGTGGTTCAATGCCTCAGTGTAGGTTTCTAGTGATATCTAAGGTGCCCCAAGGACACTCAGGCTAGCAGCTAGGAGGGCACAGGTCTCCCATAGAGCCTGTGTTATACCTACTAGCTCTGCGTCGGTACCTTGAACACTTCAGGCATCTCAAAGGGCACGAGATTCCTTCAAACAACTGAGTCGAGCACAAAAAGTCATATCTATCTGGATTGTTTAAACAGTGACCTATACTGTTGTAGTATTGTAGTATGCCATCTCACGATCTTCTATTTATCTCACAGTAGTCTTGTGACTTAATGAAGATCTATTACTCTTGTTGTTTTTCAGATGAGGATTGAAAGCTTGGAAAAATAAGACCCACGTCTTATCTAATTCCCTCTGTCTTCTATTTCCTTTTAGTCAGATACTTCTGAAGGAACAGAACCAACAAAGGCTGGACACAAGGAGTATGGGCGATTTTGGGTTGTTTGAATCCAGGCATCACACGACAGAGTGAATCTCACAACAATCAACTTGGCACATTCTGCCTGGGTCATCATTCTCTTCCTTCTAGATTTAGACTGATTCTTTTTTTTTTTTTTCTATACAAAGCACAGTACAGAACTACACTGATGAGAAAGTGAAGAACTACTGAGGAGCAAAAGTGCAGCAGTCTGAAGATTGTGAAGAATCATAATTTGTTGATTATCATTATTTTGCCCATAGGTTGTTTGCACAAAATGGAACTCTTCTTAGATCTGAACTGAAATCAAGTTCATTTATTCCAGCGGGCCATTTGCACATGCGTTACTGACACAGATAATGCCCACACCCAGGGCGAGTACCCTCTGCTCGGGTGTTCCCATCCTCGGTGCACATCCCCTGGCTCTGCTCTGACTGTACACAAGCCTCAGGGCTGGGTGCACACTCTGCCCCTAAATGCTTTGCTTTCCTTTGGAGGAAAGTCAAAGCACAGAGGTAAGCAGGTTGCTCTAATATATACCATGACCCATGGACACAGCTTCGGTAGACAGCTTTAGACAGATGTTCACTGCAAAAAATTGTTTGCCAAATATTTAAAATACCTATATGTATCTCTGTGATATACATAAATAAAAGCATACAGTATTTACCCTATTGAGGTTGTTTTATTTTGCAGAGAGGAAAGAAGAGAAAATAAAGTCTGGAAAGATTTTTTTTTTTGGACATCAACAAATTCAACTGCTCATGTGTTCATACAGAAAAAAGGTATCCCATTGCCCTAAATTAGAGCTATCTGCTTGTTGGTTGGATAAAAGGATGCAGTTTTGTTAACCTAGAAGCTCCAAGTTACTTTAATTGTTAGACTTTTTTAAACTAGTGGTTAATTAAGTGCAGTGTCGAGGTGTTGTGCTACCAAGTATTTTAAAAGCTGTTTGTAAATAGAGAAGATAGGTGTAAGAGTAAACTATGATGAAATTGCAAGATTAAGGAGAATGTTAATCTAGAAATTATATCAATTATGTAATCAGTAAAAAATAGTATTGTAATTTTTTAAGACTGGTTAAGAAAGGAAAATACAAAGTAAATACAACATGATATTAAAGCTTCTTTGAAGCCTTCCTCAGATGAAATCTTTTATATGAATCGACAATCTTGTTCTACCTTGTCAAGGTGATTATGAATATGAAAGGGGTAAGGAAATGCTAACAAGGCATTACTCTGTGAGAATACTTTGAATGTAGCATAACAACTTTGTAGCATATCAAAAGCATATCAGCTTTGCTTCTTAATTTATTATGAAGCAAATCTGTGACTTCTTGCTATAGTTTTAATATCAAATGTAGTTAAAAAAAAGTGGTCAAACTGGGCTTTCTCATCTCAGTCTAATCTTAGAGTCTACAATATCCATCATCTTATCAAGATTCATTGTTGTTTAAACTGTGCCACGCTTTCAAGCCATCCTCAAGGTAGTTTTAAGGATATAACATGACAGCTGTTTACCAGTGCACAGCAATTTCAGAAAGTGAGGGCAGGTAATTTTGTGCAATTCAGTCAAAAAGGAAGTTCCCAGTACACTAGAAGATATAGTAGAAGTTTCCACGTTGTAACAAAGCCAAAAAATAGCATTCTACTCTTGTAAAAGTACTAAGAGATTTTAAATGCGCTAAAATACTTCTAATTAAAGCTCCAGATACATTGCAGCCACCCTGTCCATGTCCAAAACCCTTCCCAGGTCGTACTGATTCAGTCCAGACTCAGCGATGGGAAGAACAGGCATAACGATATGCCACGGGAGAGGCAATGGAAGAGACGTCAACTGAAGGCTGATCAGCGTAGGCTGATTCATCCACTTGGTACAAAGTGGTGAAAAGAGACAGACTATCTTAGCTCTGAAAATAGTTCAGCTCTCTAGTGTGGCATGACACCCAAGCTAAAAATCTCTGTTCTTTAGCACTGCCGCAGCTCTGTTACTTCTGGATTCAGAACTAGAATGGTCTAGTCTGAGGGTCCCTATCTTATTGCTTGTTGTATCATGCAGACACATTTCCTACACCGGCTGAATAACCAGCATCAATTTTTGGCAACACCTGTAGCTGCCATTCTGTCTCTAAGGCAGCAACCAGAAACAATCTGGCTTAATTTATGAGCAGGGACTTGGAATAGCTTAAGATGGACTGACTGTAAGTCCGCATTGAAAAGAACTCTTTAAGCAGGAAGATTAACTTGGATCAATACACATTATTGTGGAGCAATCTTCACTTCCTATCATGTCGGTTAAATGCCATTTTTTTCAGGATGGAAAAGAGCACAGAAGTCTTGCACTCCTTTAACTTTCATGGTGTCTTCTTTAGAACTTTTCAACAGACCTGATCCCAAAACACATGGAAGTCAACAAACTGCTGCTGTTGCCCCAAAAGGCTTTCGACCAGCACCATATTTACTCAGGAGAATTCATATCGCCAAGCTACTGTACTCCTCTCCTAAGCAGCAAAGTATTGCAAAAAAAGCCACTGCATAAACAAGAGAGCCAAACCCTGCTGAAGCAAATGTGCAAGGACTGATGGGCTCAGTTAAATTATCATGTACTTCCAAAGAATCTTCACTCTAAATCTGGCTCTGACATTTACTTAACGTGTTACCTGTCATTTCCCCATTTCTAAAGGAGGAATAGTACTTACTCAAGGCTCTCAGAGGGAAAATTAATGTTTTCAGGGCACTTTAAAAATTAAAATAGCTATATATGTTTGCCAAGCTACCCAGCTGGATTGTGGGCACACTGATTGAGAGCATTTTTTGTTGCTGTGGACTGTGCATATATTCTCAGTTTCAGTTTTGTTTCATTGGTTGCTTAATAAAATGTGTGGCCATAGATTACCAATGTAATCTATGAGATACATATATTTGCATAGGAAAAATATGTTGCTTTTATTTCAAGCTCAGAAAGGTGGCTGCTCACAGGAAAGAGCAGATTCTAGGAATATAAACACTGCATGCTTTTTTTTCTCTCTCTCTTTTTCTCCTTTTATCCTAAGCCTAGCAGAGAGAGAAGCCAGTTTGCAAGCTTATCCACTGAAGCCTAAAGGGGCTCATTCAGTACAGCTGAGTATCTGATCAACAGATCATCTAGCTCTGATTATAGACTGCTGGTATTACTGTTGGATGGACATGATACCAACTTGTCTATACACAAGCCAAACTTCTTTCTGTTGAATGGCTACAGATGCCACTCTTGTACAGAAAGTATATTCCAGCATTGAAAAGCACTCTGGCTATTGAATTTCATGAGACAGCACAGCTGCAGCAGCAGTGCTATGTGACATAGTTGTGCATTTTTGTAACATATGTGCAACTTATACGGAGATAAAGTGTCTGATATGACAATAGGACACACACCCACCTCATAGTTTTCTAGTACACATATAAGCTACTTTCTATTCTGTTTGCCTGTCATCTGTAGCTTTCAAACCACTGTGCAAAGGATATTGCAAAAAGCATCAAGAACTTAAAATGCAATCATCCAAATTAAAGTGTACATACACGGTATTACAGCCTGTGAGCGATTCTTCTGGGTATTTTCCTCCTGCTGTGCAACGGTGGTGGCATTGGGCTCAGCCTGATAAGCACACAGAGCTTCCCACTCTTTCTCCAGACGATTCTTGTTTTTCAGATGATCTTCCATGTAGGACTGGAATTAAAAGAATGCTGTGTTAAGCATTGACCTAGCTAGGCTCAAAGCTAAGCTAAAAGGATGTATCTCGGGATGGTAAGCATGGGAACCCTGAGCTTTGGGAACAAAACACACTCAGTCTCACGGCTAATTCATTCACTTAAGAGAGTTAACCTCAAGCTTATTTGTGCTATACAAAATGAGAACGCTAACATGTACCAGTGCTAACAGAGAAGAAATGATTGAAACCTCCAGCTACTGAGCTTCAGGAGAAAACTATTTCTTCAGTACCTAGAAGATGTAAGCCCAAACGTCTCTTTCATTAGGCAATGAAAAAGGAACAAAAATCCATTGACAAAAACTACTCACTACAACAACGGCTCACATCAAAATGAAGGCTTTTAAAACTAAAATTCAAGAACATACGCAAGTCACAACAATGATACGGCTGTTGAGGAGAATTAAAAAACTACCAGGCTGAAGTGTCCTGGCTCAGGTCATTAGGGTCATTAGGTCCGGTACCTAATGTACCGGGTCATTAGGAACTCATCCTGCACATGGACTGGCACAGAGAGGGCCTTGAACTGAGAAGGTGCTGTTAATTAGTATTAATATATGTTGTCAAAGATTGTACCTGGCATTCAGTAAAGTCAACAGTGTTAGAAGAAGCATCACCAAAGAAAAATTAACTGGCTGTGGCAGGAATGATGGCCCATCAGAGTATATTGGTGCAGGTCTTAAATTTTTGCAGATCTCCCAAGGCTACAGATTCGGTACAGCACTGGATTGGGAATTCAGTCCCAAAGGTTTGCCAAAAGTGAAATAAACCCCTATTCCCATGGACCTGAATATTGTCCAAGTAGGTGAGGGGAAGAGAGCAGAAAGGAGGAAGGGTGGGGAAAACCAGAAATCTTCCCCTCCCTTTACCATGAAAATTAAGAAAGTGATGACCTGGCACCGTAAGCCTACTTATACAGCCAAATTACCTTTCAGAGCCTGTCATCTTCTCCTGCAGTAAGCAGCAGAATAAGCTCACATTACATCCAGTTTGTACTTGTAAATTAAACTCCATACTCCCTTTACAAGGTAGGTTGAAGTTAACATCTTTGAACACATTACAAAAGGAACAAACTGTTTAGGGGACAGGCTCAAGGTCTGGACGGGGTCGGGAGCAGAGCTGTGGGTGCCTCTGGCCCAAACATCAGTCCAAGCAGCTCCTGCTGGAGCAGTCACTAGTGCAGCCCAGCCTGTAGCAACACTTGTCTAGAAAAAGCTTCTGGAAAGGATTCACTGAAAAGTATAAAAAGCAGTTTAATTGCTTAGAAAACCTTTCCCATAGACAATCTCCGTTATGTCGCCATAGTTCTTCCCAAACATGCCTTAAAGAAGAAAGGCTCGCCTGCCCTCTCAGCAGGTTTAACAGAAGGTGCAAAAAGCTTGCAGCTTGTCTTCTGCCAAACGGGAGCTCTGCTAAAGCTGTCGCTCCGCCGCGCTGCCCACCCCACCAGGAAGGCAGGAGACTGCTCTCTCTCGCAGCTTGAACGGTTTTTTTTCGGTTACAAAAGAGCCCCTGACACACAGCTTTGTTTTGTGCGGGGTCTGTCGGGTGTGCGCAGCTTTACACGAGATTTGTAAATCAAACCTGTTACTAAAAAGCAATTCAAGAAGCGACACTTCCAGAAAGGATATCTTTAAGGACATAGAAATTATTGCATTAGAGGAAAGGTTTCTAAAGGAGGGAAAAAATAGTGGTGGCCTGGATACAATGAAAACACCTACTGTGAGATTGCGTCTTTTCTATAACGAAGGAAAAAGCATCGCAGTGGACAGAGCTGTGACCTGACGGATGGGAAGCTGGGATAGCGACGTGGCCCCGTGGTGTGTTAGGGGAGTGGGTCAGCTAACACATTCCCAGCCTTAACCCGCAAGTTAACGGGAGGAAACCATTCTCTGATAGTTTGCTTGTCCTTGCCCAAAGGCTGTTGCTATTGGGGAAAGGAGAGGCTAAAGATCCCATTCTCTTCTCATAGTAAATCCGTGCCTGGATATGTATACTGAATGTAACAAAAAGAAGATAATCCCTCCTGAGCAGAGACTATTTGGTATATAAGAATTTTTATGAGGCAAAGGGAAAAAAAATTGCAAAATCTTACAATACCGAGACCGGTGGCTTCAGAGGAGCTGCTCAGCATGCAGCAGGCAGAGAGCAGGCAGTCAAGGACCTGCCTGTAGCATCTTCCCTTTTTAAACCACCGTTTTATAATCTGATTCATTTTGACATACCCATCACCAACGTCCCATAGACTTCAGGGACATTTTATGCAGTTATACAGATCTGCCAACACCGAATCTCTCCAAAATACTGTGAGATACACGAAGCTGTAGGAAAATGGCCATGAACATTTGATTCCTAAGGCAGGGCTGTACACAGCAAGGAGCTTCCCGTTGGCTCCAACTTGTCTATTTGATGATTTCAAGGACTGTATTTTAAAAAGAAATTTTATTTTATTTGTAAATAGTCAAATGTGACACAGTTAAGGTAGTTTGATTTCGTTTAGTGCGTGTGAATTTTTAAATAACTCATCTCTCTCTAAAAAGGAATACTCTTTTTACTTTTACCTTCCTTTTTCAGGGAATCCTGAGTGTACAGAGAAATGAATGTTCAAATGAGAACACAGTGAAATCTTTACTTTAACCAGACAACCACTTTCCATGTAAGCTCAACACCTGCATCGCATGGATCAGGTTCACAGGGCACTCCTGACACATCTCGGAAAGGTGTTTGACTATTTGAACAGACCCGTGGAAGGCTCCGCACAATATGAACATCTGCTTTTCACACATTTAAAAAAGCTACCGAGAAAGAAGCTTCCTTTAAAACATTCAGGAGTCAGACAATTCCCTCAGAGTTAAGTAATCTTTCATTTACAGTCCTTCAGAGCCCCTACGCTCATCCCTATTTTGCTAAACAGAAGCTTAGTGATTTTGAAACACCCTCTTGGGAGCTGCTGGATGTACATTAAATTGAGTGGAACTTCTGATATTTTAGAGATTGTATGTCTACTCAAATCCACTCCTTAATTAGGATGTTTTCGTGAGACATTCTGCAGCGTTTGCCTGGTACAAAAGAAATTCATTACCAACATGTCAAACACGCACATGATTTTCCTTGTCCCAGAGCAGCAGGTAAAATAAATAGAGGTTGTCACCAGTTACTGTAATGCTCCTCAAAGCCCACTGAAAAGGGTAGAGGTTTAGTCTCACCAATATGTCCACATCAAGACAAGTCCTGTAATCCCAAGTATATGCTATTCTTTAAACAAACACTGTCTGCTTGGCCAGATCTCTTGATGTACATTAAATTTAATTCAGTCTTAGTTTTCCTTCCACAGGGCCCCACCTGCAAGGACAACTGGTAGCCCAGTTCGCACTTTCTCTTGTATACACAGATGAGATCCTCTTGCTACCAAACACGTTATGGGGATAAGGAGGACGCATCGACGCTATGTGGAGAGCGGGGACGTACTATAAAATCTATTATTGTGTGAGACAAGCCAGTTGTAAGGCAGGAGATGAGCTTTCAGCCAGAGGATGAAACACTGGCCCAGGGACAATGAGTCTCTGGCCAAGAGAAGCAGCGCCAGTGGCAAATGAACACAGGCACAAAGCCAGGGCACAGCGGCACAGCTTGGCTTTGGTAAAGCTTCCTGAGCACTCGGTCGATGTTGTAATACGGTGTAATCGACTTTGTTTTTCTTTACTTTTTTCTTTACTCAAGGAGTGGCATCCAGTGCGTGCTCTGTGAGTAAATTAAGGTTAACAAATACAACAATTAAATTTTGATTGTCTGGTCAATCTCCAAATACCTTCTTCAGAGATAGTATGGTTTGCACCTGTCAAGATATTTGTTTTAAAAACACCTATTTTATTAGCTGATGCTCAGCTATTACAAAACGCAATTATTTTTGACAACATACTTCCAATACGGTACTTGGTTAGACACTCTTT